AACATTAGGCTATTTTTGCAATTCCAAAATTCCTTTAAAATTCAGTACAATATAAAAAAGAGACTCTGACTTGTTTGTGATTCAAAGCTTAAAATGCTGTTTACTTCATGGAAGAGATTTCGCAAAAAGCTCTTGAAATAATCGGATGTTGAGACAGTGATTAAGTAAGTTTCAAACCAAAGGTCTGAGTTTTTATCTGCTAGTTTGCTCAACACAAGAAGTGCTGAAAATCCAGATTTAAATCATGAGTCATGGTGGACATTTTCTAGGTATCATTTGCCTTCAAAAAATTTTTTTTCGGCGAGATAAGAACCAGTACTAGTCACATTTCTTCCTGGCATATTCCCAGCTTTTTGGTTCAGCAGCTTGAGCTCAGGAAAGACCTGCTTAAATTTATGTAACATCTACTGCGGATGTTTTGAAATTTTGCATTGACATTAAGTAATACATGCATATGAATAATCTATGGTGTGGATAAGAATCCAAAGATGGGGTGCATCACAGTTTTTTCATTGTTTAAATAATGTCCAAGAGTGTTCTCGATCACTTTTGGATTAACTTTTTTTTAGCCACCACTATCTGACAGTTTTTGAACCAGACAAATTTTTCTATGCCTTCTTTGGAGACCATTATTCAGTCTTGTTTCTTGGCTTTTATTGTCATAATGGTTTGCTTCACACCATTTAAATACTTTGGATATTGGTGCGATTCTTAAATGTTTTAGAAGATTAGAAGATTTCTTGATGTTTATCATTGGTGTTTAGTCTTTGGATTGGCAAATAATTTCATCATTGAATTACTTTTACTTGAGATGATTTTGATCTATTTTGGTGCGATTCTTAAATGTTTTAGAAGATTAGAAGATTTCTTGATGTTTATCATTGGTGTTTAGTCTTTGGATTGGCAAATAATTTCATCATTGAATTACTTTTACTTGAGATGATTTTGATCTATTACAGGGTATAGTGGCATAGTAAATCCTTAAAAAAATTTTAATGCAAATTTTACCTCAAAAATTCACTGAAACCCCCACTGAGAATAATTCAAGAATGCCAATTGTGCCAATAAAGACTGTTGAAGGAATGAAACATAATGAAAAATTGTCTGTTTAATTTTCATCATTTTTGTGTGTTCAATATTCATTGGAGGTCATAATTTAGAAGATTAGAAGAGATTTTTTTTTAATAATTGGTGTTCCAACCTTTGAGTTGCTCAATGATTTTATCAATGAATTCCCTGTTCTTGAGATACTCTGGATCACCTGGAAAGTACATTAGATGCTTCTTTCCTTTTTGAATGCAAATCCTACTGAGAATAATTCAGGTATGCCAATTATGACATTAGAGACTGTTGGGGGAATAAAAATAAATTTTTAAAAACCTCAAAGAAGTGCTATCCAGTGAGTGACAGACTGGGATTCCATCAGCTCCACAGGAATGCCATCATAAATCAGGAAAGGAATCAACAATTACGCATTCCTTCACGGAAGAAGCATCACCACAAAACGCTCCTCAAGAGCATGTATTTTTCTCTGCTGAAATCATGACCATCTGGTATAGAAAGAAAAAAAAAACTAAAATGTATTCCTAACCATTAGCATACCGTAAAAAAACCAGCAGCACTTTGACCACTCAAAAAAATGCATTGATTTTATAGAATTATTTTCTGTTAATCAGGAAAGTATGTTAACCGAGGTTATCAGGGTTTTAAAAACTGTTTCATGAGGAGGGGTACTTTTTCCTTTGTCTTATTTTTATTTTTGTACTTTTCGCGGGTGGCCTCATTTCGGTTGGGCGAATCGAACCGTTGTGTTTTTCTCCTCCCCCTGGAAAAAAAAGCTGACAAATCGATTTGAAAAGAGAGGAATAAAATAGAAAATGAAAGGCTCTGAGCGCGCATATGCACAAACGGTGCAGGAATTGGCATGAAGGCAGTGGTGCCCAGTCACGCGACTGGTTTCCGTCCGGGTGCCCGAATTTCCCCTGAGGGTGTAGCAGGACGCGAAAAAACAGAAAGTGGAATTGAAAAACTGTGGTCCTGGTTTTATTGTTTTCGAAGAGAAGGATTTTGTTCAGTTTTGCTGCAGAAATCGATTTTTGATGATTAGCATTTTTTTTAGGTGAATTTTTTTTTCTCTCGCAGGTCTTTATTTTTCAGGAGAAATAATTATAAGATGATACCCACCAGTAGCAAGTCAAATTTTAAAAAATGTGTTTTTACAAAGATTTTCAATCATTTTTTTGTCCAAAAAGTAATTTTGTAAAGGAATTTTCGGCTGATTTTCCGCAAATCTTGATTTGTCAGTTGGGTAATTTGTGTCACTGTATTATTTTTTTTTTACAGAGCGAAGAATGAATTACTGCAGAATGAAGGTGTAGTAGGGCATGTGCACTCGCCAGAAAGACTAATTAAAGAAGTTGAGTTTTATTTCCAAGAAGAGGATTTTTCAATGGTTGTTTTCAGCATTTTAGCCGATTGTTGCAGGTTTGGATTTATTAGTTCGGATATGTGTTTTTGGATTCTTTTTAATTTCAGAAGAATGGAATAGAATGATGGTGTAGCAGGGCATATACACTCACCAGCCACTGAAATTTGAAAGAGTTGGTGTTTATTTTCAAGAAAAGGATTTTTCCAATTAACTTCTTGCAGGATCTCATTTCTTGTTTGATAGGCATTTTAAAATGTCTTTTTCGCAGTTCTTAATTTATTATTTCGGCGATGCATTTTTGGATGTTTTTTACTTCCAGAAAAATACAGAATAGCGGTGTAGCAGGGCGCAAGTGCACACTTGGAAGTAGAACATGATGATGATGATGTTCCTCAATTTTTAAGACTAGGATTGCTCACCTTCTGCAGGTTTTGATTTTTTATTAAAAGCATTTTTAGTTACATTTGTGACAGGTGTCAAGAGATGCATGTTTGGGTTTTTCTTACATTCAGAAAAAAAAATTTAATTATAGTGTAGCTGCTGGGCGGATGTACCCAACAGCAACAATAATAATTCTTAGTTCTTACCTAGAATAATTCTTTTTAAGTCTTAACTTTTCAAGGAAATACCATCAGAATTTTGTACTTTCAGAAAAACGAATGGAATGCTGGTGTAGCAGGGTGCATGGACATACCAAGTACTTCCAGGTGTGTTCCTAGGAGAAGTGGTTTACCATCTAATCAATCGAATTAAAAGATTTTGGATTGAAAAGATGGTCGATTTATAAGACCTACACATAATGCACAAGTAAAATTATGAGTGCCTGTTTTAAGGAAATTTTCATTTAAACTTGGTTCATCAATTAAATCATTTGAGTCTCCAAATAAAAGCCACTGCTCAGCATTTGAAATACAGGTGCAATTCCTCTTGGAATATTTCTCATCTCATATTTTTGGTTCAACACTGAAAAATTGACAAAGGTTTTGGATTGACATCAAGTTCTTGACTAACAAGATCTACTCATAAGTAAAAAATACTGTTTAATGATGAGATCAATTTTTATGAACTTCAGATTAAAATTGGTTCACCAGTAAAATAATTTGAATTTCAAAATGAAAACCACAGCTACAGGTATTTAAAATACAGTATAATCCCTCTAAAAATATTTCTCATCTCATATTTTTGATTCAATATTGAAAAATTTTGATAAAATTTAAATAAGGTAGCTGATGATTCCAAAATATTCATTATGTGTGAAAGGAAAAAAAGAGCCTCTTGTCCAACATCAACGCATCAAGTACCACAGTAGATTACTATACCACAAATACAGAAAACAAACATGATGGGGAAGAAAAGAAAGAACAATCGAATCTTCCAGACCGTGAATTGCTCACCATGGCAAGAAACCATCTCACGAAATGGAGGGTATTCCGAATAAATTAATTCCAGTCCGAAAAGCAATGAGGACTTTTCCTTCTCTTACATCCCAATGAACACATAAAAAAGCTCCATCCTTATCTTCATACTTGACTGAGGAACACATGTAGAGAAATCCTGAGCCACAGGGGGGAAGGAAAAAATATTTCAATTTAACCACACATGATGGAAGCCATAAAACAAAAGCCAGGGTTGGGTCAAAAGTTTTTTTTTTCTTCTCTATGCTTGGGCTCTCATGATTGGGAGTCTGAGTTTTTAATTGAGTATTTCATCACTTTCTGACCTCTCATCCAATTTTCCAAACCTGAGTTGAATTGAAGATAAGTCCAGAAGTGAAAGCAGATCCCATCAGTATTACATTAAAAATATTCGTCTGCAAAAGTTATGACGATTTGTGAATTTACAAGCAGTCCAATTGCTACAAAATACACTAATAATTATGGATATTCTCTTTTTTTTTTAATTGAAACAGGACTATTTTAAATTTTGCAATGGATCCAAAACCAGTTTTTTTTTATAATTCAGTGGGCACATCTAAATTACAGTACTGTATATCTTTTCAAGGCAGTGCAAGAACTTTGGAAAACGTATCATGTTTTGTGAATTTACAAGCAGTATATAAAATACAGCAATAACCATGGATAATTTTTTCTTTTTATTGACACGGGGTTATTTTAAATTTTGTCATGGATCCAACAGTAGTTTTTAAATATTTCAGTGGAAGCATCTAAATTACAGTATTCATTTTCAAGGCAGTTAAATAACGTAAGTGCCACAAACTACACTAATAAATATGGATGATTGTTATTTTTCAAAAAATTGAAACAGGTCTATTTTGTCTTGGATCCAAAAGATTTTTTTTATAATTACAGTGGGCACATCTAAATTACAGCATTTCTTTTCAAGGCAGTGAAAGAACTTTTGAATTATCCCTTCCTATGAAAAGAAGCCATTAATTGCGAAACACAATTCCACACGAACGCAGAAAGAGGCCAGAGATAAGGGATGAAATTAATTTCAGGAAGTAATTCTGGGTCCAGAACTGAAGGAAACCATTTCCGTTCACCAAGATCTCGCAAAATCACTTCCTGTGGTGCGGGAAAAAAAAGATGGAAAATCGGCCCCGAATGCGATTGAAAAAGAAAATCCTCTCTCTTTTTTTTCACTTGGCTTTCAATGGATTTCTAATCATCCGACTTCCTCCCATTTTTATTGTAGCCAGGAACGAGTTTTTCTTCCTCTTTTTCTTTTCAATGCGGATGCGAAAAGAGTGGATCAAGCTTTCATTCAAAATTATACGACTCACAAGAGTTTTTTTTTCGCGGAAGCTTTTGAAAGATGAAATTCTGAAATTGGCTTCCGAACGGAAGCGGAATTTTCTCCCATAAAATCCGGAGAAAATTATTCTAATAATAAGTAGATACGTTTCTTGAAACCTGACTTTAATCACAGGATGCTCCTATGAAAAGATCCTTGCACAAAAATGTACCCAGACAAAAAGCACCCAATGCCAGAGAAGGCCATTCATTCCACCATAAAAAATTATTCTCCTGTATGCTTTTCCTCTTGTTCATGAGTGATTTCTTCCTTTCAAAAATTCCCCATTCAACATTTCAAAACTCAAATCTTGTTCTAAATCTTACTTTTTGAAGCAGATAACTGCTATTTTGGTATGGGATTATGCTGTCACCCAACACATGGTTTATTCTACTTGTCAAAAGGATTTACTGAAAATGCATGATAAATAATGCACTTAACTGAAGCTATTGGACAAAAAAAAATTGGGTTTAAATTATTTATTAGATTTTGAATGAAAATTTGCTTTTCAAGAGCTGCTTCCATTTTTAAATTCTTGTGAATTTATTATCCAGATGTCAATCTGGATGCTGCTTGGTCCATGGTTTCCTTATACTGTCATAAATTAAAAAACTTCAGACATTATCATTAAACAATGAGATTTTTAAAAAATAATATTTTCAATCTTCCCCTTATTTAGCTATTCTAACTTCTTTTTTCTTTCATTCTATTCTTGTTACAGAGATAAAGAACTAATAGCTTTGAATAGTTACATTTTTATGAACATGATGCAATGAAAAAAATATTTTCAAAACGCTACAAAAATGGAGACCAGCCAAAGTGTCGGCCTCCTGCTTGTGCCGGATACAAAGCCCAGCAAAGAGAGAGAGAGAAAAAAAGAAAAGAATTCCTGAATCTGACGCCAAAATAGGGAACAAAATTGACATGAAATCCATGAAAAAAAGCGAGAATATCTGAAAAGAAGATGATGAAGAAGATCGACGGATATAAAACGAAGCCATTAATCATTTCTTCTCGCCCCGGGGGCANNCATCTAAATTACAGCATTTCTTTTCAAGGCAGTGAAAGAACTTTTGAATTATCCCTTCCTATGAAAAGAAGCCATTAATTGCGAAACACAATTCCACACGAACGCAGAAAGAGGCCAGAGATAAGGGATGAAATTAATTTCAGGAAGTAATTCTGGGTCCAGAACTGAAGGAAACCATTTCCGTTCACCAAGATCTCGCAAAATCACTTCCTGTGGTGCGGGAAAAAAAAGATGGAAAATCGGCCCCGAATGCGATTGAAAAAGAAAATCCTCTCTCTTTTTTTCACTTGGCTTTCAATGGATTTCTAATCATCCGACTTCCTTCCATTTTTATTGTAGCCCGGAACGAGTTTTTCTTCCCCTTTTTTCTTTTCAATGCGGATGCGAAAAGAGTGGATCAAGCTTTCATTCAAAATTATACGACTTACAAGAGTTTTTTTCGCGGATGCTTTTGAAAGATGAAATTCTGAAATTGGCTTCCGAACGGAAGTGGAATTTTCTCCCATAAAATCCGGAGAAAATTATTCTAATAATTAATAAGTAGATACGTTTCTTGAAACCTGACTTTCATCACAGGATGCTCCTATGAAAAGATCCTTGCACAAAAATGTAC